TAAGGTTGATTGGACTTGGTTGAGAACGTGAACTTAATTGTAGGGTCTTCGTCTCTGCGGCCCCCATTTCACAATAAATGTCGTTGCCAAGATGGTGAAAATAACAGGGCAGCAATAACGAGCTGCTATTGTTCTTTGGTTGCATATGAACAGCAAGTCGACTGTACCGGCTTGAGCTACAGTGGTTGGGCATTGCACGGTTTACCATTGGTGGCATCACGAGTTGTCACCTTTCAGTAGATTTACCTACTGCATAACTAAGGTGAGGTCGATGCGAAGTTGAAAAGCTTCAAGAACTTTAGTTCATGGCACTTCCAACACGACGCGTCATTTGTGAGAGTTGCCACTTCAACAATGGCATTTTCGGGGTTATCACCTAGATACAAATGTAGCCGCCCATTTCACTGGTCCAGCTACCCCCCTGGACAATTAAGGAGGTGCGTGTCCATCGCATATACGCTTTAATCGTCGCCCCATTCAAGAGTGGGGGCTCTTTACCCCTTTGCACTTCGGGTGCCGGACGAATTCCGATGTTAATTGCAAGACCAACCCCCAAAGCATAGTTCTTCGGGCACGGGAGGATGGGGGATATCAGCGGGCGTTGGAGAGGCATTCGGCGACTGCAGGGACTAGGGGTCAAAATCACCATCGATGGCCAAGTAGTCAGATATATATATTTTTATTCACGTCGAAAAATATGCGTCGAAGGGATGGTTCCAAGGGCAACGCTGGACGGACTCTATGAGGGGGGTGTAAGCGAAATCTCCTGCACCCGGATGGGCTTCAAATGGTAGCAACTGTATGCCGTTGCTAACCCAATTGATACTATGTGTACCCTTGTACGGATACTGCCATGATGCCAGCATGTAACGCTTTCACGTTAGAGTGAGTGGGACACAAAACCTGATAAAACGCGTTAGGATAGATAAAACGTAGAATTATTTACGTGTCGAGAAAGTGGCCACAGAAATCAATGGTCACGAGCCCAATCAACAAGATGCGTTGCACTTGCATTTGCCTGTGGGAGTTGCAACTTGTAGCGAAGAATATCAACCTTCCACTGCATAACTAACTCATTAGTAGGTAATCCTTACCTGTGTACATTTATTTATGTACACAAAGTAGGAATGATGCAAACACAGAGTATGATACTCATGAGTTATGACTCTCTGTAAGGCAGATCGGGGTGATTTCCGTGGAGCCATTCGCTGACAGCATTATCATACTAATGAGGCCCCGTCAACAACTCGTCCTTTCAACTGTTCTGTTTTCACAGTTTACATGTTAATTGCCCTTCCCCCAATCCAATTCTACGTCCCCCGTCACTGCCTGCGATGGTTCACTTTTTTCAAAGCATTTTAACAGCCGAGTCGTGAGTGACCAACACTAGCGATAGGGTTCTTAAACCACACGGATGCCGTCGATACTCGTTTTCATATGCACCAATCAATTCGTTGGCTTTACAGCTCTGTTTTGATCGCCTTGCGCTTGGCCCCTTTAGCAGCTTTCTTTTTTTGCTGCTTGGCTTGAGCGGCTTTGATCGCGTCCTGCTTTTCCTGTTCCCGCTGCTTCTCATCTACGCCAGGGGGGTAGTACGTTTCGAAGTCCCACATCACTTCGTCCACTTGGGGCTGATTCACGAGAAACTCGACGAGGTCTTCGGCCAGCCACCCGCGCTTGATCTTGACCACGACCTTGAGCGGTGTCTCATTCACTTCGAAGAACTCGGCGTCGATGCCCCCGTTGAGCAACATCTCCTTCCACATGTTCGAAATGGACAGTGTAGGCTCGGGGATCTGCGGGTACGAGGCTTTGAATTCGTCCAAAGCTGATTCCTTCATGCTCACGAGCATCGTCTGGGGGATGCCCACATCGCCCACAAAGTTGGGGCGCTTTTTCCTACTCGAACCCTCGTCGTGAATCACATGCCATTTGTTGATATTTATCGTAGAGGGTAGTTAGTATATGTACGCACCGTTCTTCGGCTTGCTTGACCTTGTGCATTTTGTCGACGTCTTCCTTGAGCTCGTCGTCCATGTCGCCGGATTCCCATGCTTTTTCCACCGCGTCGTAGTTGATGTCCTTGGAATGCAGCCAAGCGCTGACAGGATGCCACGTCATCATCACGACCACGCATGCCAATACCAAGACAAACACGCGGCGACCCATTCTTGTGATGCTGTTTCCCTTCGTTAAAACCACCAAGCGATATTATTCGACACTAACGCCGCTTCCGAATATACGAAAATACGAACGACAGTACCTCGAAACGTCGCGACCGTTGGTTGTCATATCCGGTTTTCGAACTTTGGAATAAGTACTATTATTAATAATAGTCTGGAATATATCTACAGTAGTAGCCAAGTAAGTAAGTATCCATCGATCACAGTGGATGTTCAAAAGTGAATTATAATATACTACTTCGAAGTACAACAGTACACACGAGTGGACTGCCAAGTTCCTTCAAACTATACAATCTTCGCCCCGCTATTAGGATTTTAACATGATGGCTCCCTTAGCCAGGGGAGCCGCCCCACATTGTCCATGGACATGGCATGTCAAATGGACTGTAGGCGTATTGGTACCAAACCTTTTTCTTTTTTTACTTATTCGTACTCATCCCCACGCTGGGGGCCTCATGGCACAGCCAATGACAACGTCTAGGCGACTCGTGTTGCGAACGGGCGTTCTGCATTGCGTAGTTCCTTGCATGACTCCGACCTCCCCCCTTCTGCTTCCCTCGCTGCGCCCGCGCTGGCCCGCACTGGCCCACTTTCATGCTTGACCACGTACCGTTCCCATCGATGCTACATATTTGGCTCGCAGTCTACGATACTGCCGTCGTGCCACTCTCTCCCTATGCGCACTGACAACAATATGGGTATGTCCTCTTCGATGGGGCATCTCGAACGGAGTTATCCGCCTGTAGGGCTTCGGTGCTGCTTCTGTATTCCCATGCCTCTGGAGGAATCGCTGACAGCGTTCTACCTCTCAGTATTACTGTATAACGCTACATGCTAAGCAAGTCGTGGTGTGTTTCAACACCACGACCGCGAATGAAGTCTTTGCTTGCTTCGAGCAAACAGTACTTTATTATTTCACCCTTGGACTGCAAAGCCATCCCCACTGGACTGTCAGAAAACAATCGGTTATCCTTGAATCTCCCAAGCGAGTAAATGTAGTGATCGTAGATGCGGCATTAGAAGTAACGAGAACCAGCGAGGTAGTAGGTAAGGAGGGCCGGAAGTGTCAAATGTATGTGAAATGGTGGTAGGTTCTCATTAGTATGATAATGCTGTCAGCGAATGGCTCCACGGAAATCACCCCGATCTGCCTTACAGAGAGTCATAACTCATGAGTATCATACTCTGTGTTTGCATCATTCCTACTTTGTGTACATAAATGTACACAGGTAAGGATTACCTACTAATGAGTTAGTTATCCAGTGCAAGTTTGATCTCGATAGCTACAAGTTGCAACTCCCACAGGCAAATGCAAGTGCAACGCATCTTGTTGATTGGGTAGATGGTCGAAGCGCTTGTGTCCATTAATTTCCGGACGGTACTTTCTCGACACCTTCAAATGCGTTTAAGTGTTTAAAGCATAGTTATCCCATATAAAACGTCACGTGTACCACGTTTTACCATATCCGTCCAAAGTAACTCTTTGGCTGACACAGTACTACTACGTAGTACTACGTAGTACTACGTAGTACTTCGAAGTAATAGTTACGGTAACGTTAGTACTACTGTATTCATACGTACCTCTATACTTCGAAGTAAGTTTTTAAGGTTGATTGGACTTGGTTGAGAACGTGAACTTAATTGTAGGGTCTTCGTCTCTGCGGCCCCCATTTCACAATAAATGTCGTTGCCAAGATGGTGAAAATAACAGGGCAGCAATAACGAGCTGCTATTGTTCTTTGGTTGCATATGAACAGCAAGTCGACTGTACCGGCTTGAGCTACAGTGGTTGGGCATTGCACGGTTTACCATTGGTGGCATCACGAGTTGTCACCTTTCAGTAGATTTACCTACTGCATAACTAAGGTGAGGTCGATGCGATGTTGACAAGGTTCAGGTGTCGAGAAAGTATCCTCGGAAATCAATGGATACAAGCGCTTCCACGTTTTACCCAATCAACAAGATGCGTTGCACTTGCATTTGCCTGTGGGAGTTGCAACTTGTAGCTATCGAGATCAAACTTGCACTGGATAACTAACTCATTAGTAGGTAATCCTTACCTGTGTACATTTATGTACACAAAGTAGGAATGATGCAAACACAGAGTATGATACTCATGAGTTATGACTCTCTGTAAGGCAGATCGGGGTGATTTCCGTGGAGCCATTCGCTGACAGCATTATCATACTAATGAGGCCCTACTAACAACAACTTCAATTACTTGTCACTATGCTTCCAACATGTCCTCGTCATATTCACATTCTGCTCGACGACCCATACTACCAAGCATAAATGTCGTTATCGAAGTGATATGGCGATGTTATGACAGCTAGCACTAGGTAGGTCATACATATACGTATGCCACGGATAATTACGTAGACTGATGGGTCGAGAGTAGGGCCAGCAAGGAGGATCTACATGTCCCGGAGTACCTGTTGTGCAGAAGGTAGATATTAGGGAGCACAGCTCTGGACTACTATGAGGAAAGTCAAAGTAACTCAACTTGTCGTTCAATAAGAAGTTGAATTATCTACGACGTAGGCGAAGAGGGTGTCCCGAGGAAGTCCTTAGAAGGGGACACACTGGCTAAAGAAGTCGTTGCGACTGACACACACGTTTCCAGCCTTGCACGCCAAGGATTTGGTAAAGCCTCTGCCTCCGCACTGCTCCCACGTGTCAAATTCCTTCGACGGCACTGGCGCATGGGCAAGGCATTGGCTGAACCACACAGGCTGCAATACAATACACTCAAACCCCAAGACACAGGTCGTTGGCCCCTTATAGCCCTGTCCGCCGCATTGTTGCCACGGCCGCGCCACAGTTGATTGCCGTGTTGTGGATGGATATGGCGTCGACGAACGAGGGTCAGTGGATTGGGGAGGATATCGAGTTGTGGCGGGCTTTGGTGTCGTGGGCGTATAAGGGGTGGGTGGAGGCTTGAATGAAGTTGGTGAGGGCGTGTAGGAAGTGGTCGTGGGCTTGAACGAAGGTGGCGAGGGTTTGGGAGTCGCGATGACAGCCTTGGTCGATGGGACATTCTTGGTGGCGTTGGGTGAACTCGAGGTGCTGATGGGGGGCACCGAAGGGTCAATCGAGTTGCCATTGCCACCCAACGCCACACAATTGAGGTATACTTGCCACTGGGGCGAATGCAACGCGAGCCAATATATGACGAGCGACTTGGCCTTTCGGCACTTGTCCATGTCCACTCTCAAGAGGCCAGACGGTTCATGCAACGGACAGTTGTCGTCTTGAAACACGATCGAGTCGTCGCACCAGACTTCGCACGGCCCGTTGTGCGTCTCAACAAACCCTTCGTCGTCGTGTTTCCACTGGATCGTCCCAGCCGGGTTGATTGATTGGGGGGTACTGCCAACCATCGTCGTGAGCCCGCAAGCGCCACACGTGGCAGAGTTCTTGTTGACGAAGTCGCGGAGGGACATATACGGCGATGCTTTGAAGTTTTTCGCAAACATGTTGGCGTTGTCCTCCGGACCAAGGTTATACGGACCGCCTGGCAGAAGGTTGGGGCCATCAAGGAGGTCGCAGTACGCAGTGAGGTCTCCGTTTGGATTCACCCACGATGGCTTTGGGTCTACCAGCAGGCCATGGCCAGCGGCAGTGCCAACGCACAACAAGAGCGCTGCGATGTACGCCGAGGAGGTACTAGTGCGCATGAGCTGTCCAATTGGCAAATGAGAATACATGAGATTCAACAACAGATTCATACAGAGCGAAATCGATGCACATCTTCAACTTCAACGGTTCAAGGTTGTAACTGTCACGCCATTGATTGGCTAAAATAAAGATGAATCAAACGATGCCAGACATGTGATTGGATAAATCGTGGACATTTGCGATTTGTGAAACAGTGTTGACCTGATTAAACAACTATGACACCTTAGTGGAAGGACCTATCTAGGAGTTCACAGGGGGTTGATATGGTCATAGTACGAAGTGATACTTCATGTATAGTCTGAAGTCGACAAGAAGGTGGCACTAGAGGTATTGTGCTTTCGAGTGAAATTTCATGTTGTCTCGTTGGAATTTAAATTGATTTGATTGGCTACCTGAGATGAGCTCAAAATTATTAGCCAATCAAAACCTTCTCAATGAAATTCAACCAATCAGATCGATTGTGGATCGGTTTGGTCGGCGCGATTCGATTGCACCTCCTTCCCAAATTTGTATGTCAAATCGACAATAGATAGATACATAGGTTCCTTTTTCGACATAATATAACTCTATTGTAGCGGTAGTACATAAGGGGATATTATTCCACGTGAGTAAGACATGGAAGGAACGATTGGGTTCAACTAACATGTCATCCCTTGGTCACATCAAGATGTCGCATAACCTCGTCGCATGCTCTTATGAAGCTCCATCTAACGCTGTGGCAAAACGTGATCTTAATGTGTTTATAGTTCGTCTGGTTGTGTCGGTGTCTTGTTGACGTTTGAAGTTGTCTTTTTCGACTTTTCCCTGTTTTTTCTCTGTTTTTTTGATGGGTTGGTTTTGGGATAGTACGTGGTCTGGTCCCATGTGATTGCCTCGACTTGGTCCTGGTCTAGCAAGAACGCCTGGACGTCCTTCACGCGGGACCCATGCTGCATGCCTGCGAGCACTTTGTACGCTTCCAGCTCGTAAAAGTTGACCGTCAAGCCTCCATGCATGAGCATCTATTGGGAACGTCTGACGAGCGCAAACGGTGACGGGAACGTACGTGCTTCCATGACGCGCACAGCTCTGACACGGCCGAATTCGCCGGGTCCACGGGTACGATGGCGTCAATCGCAGATTCCTTCAACGTGACAAACACCATCTCGGACTTTTCCAACATCCCAGTCCTACATGTCCTCGTGGGAGATCGAAGGACGGGACGGCATATGTATGTACCGCTTGTACTCGAGTTCGTCGTCCGAGAGGAGCTCGTCTTCCATGTCTCCGCCTTCCCATTGTCGCTCTAATGCATCGTAATCGATGGCATGCTTAGCCGCGGTCATGAACGCCATCGCCGCCACACACAGCTGCCACACGCCGCGCATGGTTCCGTAGTTCGTCGCGATCTTGTCAAAGAGAAGTTGCCATCCGAAATGCAAATGTTTTTACGATTTTTTGGCCATGAAATTGACAATTTTTACGTTTTTTGCGAAAGTATCTTTCGAATTTGGAAGGAAATGTTGAACCAAAACTAACCACAGTACTCCGAGTATTGGTACGACTTTCGCGTGATAACTCCAATCAAATGTCCGCCTTATTTGCTCTGTATAATATGAAGTATTGTGTGCTCTACTCATACTGTCAGTTGGTCGATACATTCGCCAGACCTGCGACATATAATACTATAGACCCAGGTTTAAGAGGTATCATCATTCTCTGTAGCCAATCATATTGCAACTAACGTTAGCGTTCTTTTTATAGAGAATCATCCAGCGTTATTCGATTTGTGGCGATTTCAATAAATCTCAAAACCAGTAGAACTGTACTGTCCGTTTAGGTGGAAGGAATGCAAGAATGGTTTCTCCCATAACTTTTACCCTAGGAGGTATTTCCTCGATCCAAAGGTATATTTGAATTCAGGAGTTTAACGTGCAGTCCGTGAGGGGTTTTATTTTGCTACGTCGAATGCAAAGAAATTTTCCACTGGGCCGATTTTAACGCAGTTTTTTTTAATCTCATCGTCTTCGATCATATATTCTGTTTGCAGAAGCTTGAAGGCCCAACTACAAAACTGTGCTCTGCGTTCGCAAGCAACGATTCCAGCGATGAAACGTAGTACTTTAATGAAGTAGACTATTTCAATAGTTATATTTGTCCAATACTTTTAATAATTTATACCTCTGATATAGTAATACTATAGATTATGTAACTTTAATCATATTTTAAGACTCAAGTATAGTATACTTCGATGTACCTGTTTTAAAAATGCGTTTGCATTAAGTACGTTCCACTAGGTGCTTAAACTTCATTTCAAACCTGGAGGAGTTGTTTTCATTTCCCGCCCAAACGGACAGTATACCAGCAATATTCACAATTTGACCATGTCACATCGTCAAATAGTGTGTAAATTGGTATTTGCAGCATGCAAAAAATATCGCCACCTATTTGATCAGTTCCAAGAATTTCAGTCAAAACACATTTGCTTCGTTACTGATCATAAACTGAGACGCTAATAACAACTAAACTGTGCGACAAATTCAACTTTATTGTGCGACAAAATCAACTTTACTGTTACAGTAATGTCAAAATACACAAGTCAACTACTGGTATTACACCTACTGTACGGAAACGCATGATGCGGAAGGCGTCCATTGCAGCTCGATCTTGACGGTTCATGCGGTACGTCGTTGAGCTTCTACCTTCTTCCGCTTCTTTTCGTTGGAAATTTGTCAAAGCAGAATTCGTTCGTTGAATACTTCAATGTGTTTAAACAGCATTGCCAAACTTAATCTCCCTAAGTAGTATATCTTACCCCACATTCGTCCTCGAAAGGAATTGATTTGAGGCAATTCCGTGATTCTTTTCATTTTGCACAACGTGAATTCTTCTACATTCCACTCAAAACATTTGTTATCATACTTCAAGTCAGCCATCAAGCGTTTGATCAGGAACTCGATCTTTCATCATGCGATATGCTGCATAGGAAATACCATGGCATAAAAACATTTCCATTTGGTTGCTGAGCAACCAAAAGGTTTATTAAACCTTTGGAACAGTACCTATCCACTTGCTCAGCAACCAATTGGAAATGTTTTTATGCCATTGTATTCCCTATGAATGCTCCTCCAATAACGTTACTAATACAACCACCTTGGTACTTCGAAGTACATTTGAGCAATACATGCTGGTACCAGCCAAAACACTAATAGTAACATGCTCGTATGTACTAGTACTGAAGTACCCCCCTGTCGCAGCTCTATCAATATATGTACTGCAGCCATAGTAGAACGTTCATATATAACTTAAGGTGTGGCTTTATATTAAAAGTCGTCGCCGTCTTCTATCAGCATGGCCTTGACGGTTTCGTACACTCCAAATGAAATACCCGTGCCTGGAATGACACTCATCATTCGACAGGCCGATCCTTTCCACAGAATCGACGCGCCTTCGTCAGCTAGTGACTTTTGGAGGCAGTGGGCTAGTCCCCGGTATCGCTTTGTATTGCCTGCGACAGGGTTAGTGTTGTTAACAGTTTATAAATATTGTGCTTTTCAGTCAAATTTGCCTATTTTGGGGGGTTGATGAAATCGCCAACTCATCGAGCAAACGAGTATGATTGGCTACAAAGAATTACGGTTGCGATGTAATTGGCTAAAAAGATTGATTGATGCATTGCGCTCACAAAGATACCTCTTCAACTCGGTTTTATATGAAATTTCGAAGGTACGGCAATTGTTCGGCGGTTGATGCAACCAACCGCCGGAGGAAATTATGAGTAGAACACCCAATAAACAAATATATATATATATACCCTGAGTCATCAGTCGCAAGGTCATTATGTCGAGGGGATTGGTGAGGAACGCGGCGGCGCCGCCGGCCATCCCGCCAATGCATGTGGTTTCCACGGCGGTAGGGGGTCGTTGCACCGAGTCACTATTACGAGGGAATAGAATAATAATAGAACCATACGATATATATACAATTATTATTAATAGTATAGAGCAAACATACCGATGGTGTTCCTTGAGCAGTTCATAAAACAAAAACGCAAACCCAGAGTACGATGCATCCACGGCCAAACATGCAGTGTAGCCTGCATATAAACCTCGAATTCCTACGGAAAAAATGGATTAAATGTCATCCAGAACGTAGTATATGATCAATTTAGGTGGCCCGAAACACGTTTTATGACAAACAGTATCGATATATATATATATATATATATATTGTCAAATCGATTCGAAACTGGAGCCCTCACCATGTGAATCGATTAAAGAACCACCTGAGCCAATCAAATCACGAAATGTGGAATTTCTACCAATCCAAACGTTTGACCCCTCCGCATTGGGCAAAACCACATATATACTAATCGTTGTATAGTATAGTGTATACAAGGTTAAATAGGATCAAATAGGTTCGGAAACTATTTGGGGAAATAACTCTCAATGTCCAAATTTGGGTGAAATGAATGCACAATATAAACTACTCTCGTGAATATTAATACATTGTCTCGTTTAAACCCACGTCTTTTCCACAAGTGCATTCATAATAAAATAATATATTGTGCTTTCGAGTGAAATTTCATTGTGGTTTCTCGTTGGAATTTTAACCGATTTGATTGGCTACTTCAGATGAGCTCAAAATTATTATCCAATCAAAACCTTCTCAATGAAATTCAACAACCAATCAGATCGATTGTGGATCGGTTTGGTCGGCGCGATTCGAAACCCACATTTGTATCAAATCGACAATAAAGTAACCACTTTTTCAGTATAAAAGAGGTAATAATACCCAAAGCAACCCTACCTACTTCGACGACATTTCAAAGATTCACGAAAAATAGTAGTACCTTCGGCCCGTACAATCGACGTCATGGCATCCACCATGCCTCTGTAGTTGGTAGTTTCCTTAGTCCATCCCCCCGATGCATTGTGGGGGTTGCGACCGAGTTGCATGCGGGCCTTCATGACTTCGGTGGGAACGTTCGAGACGGAGCTGCAGAGCTCGCTGAAGGCGCCGGCAGCGAAGAACGCCACTGGCTCGTGTTCCTTGGGCACCATGGAAGCGATCTAGGAACACTCATATGTATGGTACTGAACATGGCATCTACTGTCACCATACCGTGGTTTTTGCAAACTCGTACGCCGTGTAGTAGATCGCCGTGTTGATCGGCGCCATCTTGAGGGTCGTGCCCAGCCCGCCAAAGAACCCGGCTACACCCTCCTCGCGCAAGATCGTCTTCCACGCATGTGTGATGCCAGTGTACTTGGGAGGCGGCACCATCTGCACCTTGATCCGAAGGTTCACCGTGTCGAACGGTAACAGCAACGAGTCCGTCACCATCCCCGCCACCGCACCAGACAGCATGCTCTTGTACAGCGTCGCATGCGTCTCTGTCGCAGGCAAGTGCGCCGTCAGCTGCTGCGAGTCGTGTAGGATGTGGCTCGTGGTTGACGCGACATTCATCTTGTTTCGATGTGATAGCGGCGATCAAATAAGTTGGGCCACCGTCCTCATTGGCGCACGATTTGACCCTGCTGAATCGTATAACACATTATGTTTAATATATGGAAACTCGCCAAGGTGATCAAGTAATGTTGCAAAAGCTAACTGTATGAAAGCATAACCTTTGGGAATCAATACTACATAGTATAAAGTCGTCCTCAACAATTAATTGGAACATGAGATATTATTGTGCTTATCACATTTTCTGCCCGTGTGTTTAGCTCCTAAAACGTCCGACGTTTTAATCTAAAACGAATATTGCACCACCATCCTCGAAATATAAGCTATCCCAGTGTTCTGTCATTGGCTGATATAAAACGTGGTAGTTTTACACTGCAACCATCGCGAGCCAAGCTTGATGACATCGACTGGCAACGACACCGCACGGGTGCCAGTACCAGACAACATACAATGCTGTGTGTCTATGAAGGTCGGTTGACCTCTGGGTAAGAGCAGAACAACAGTTGGAGACCCTGTCGTGCTCACGATGAGCACGACTGACACACGTTCAACGTCATGGCAACAAAGGTGTTCGACATTGTTGCGGGAATAACCCATGCCACTCAAACAAGTTTTGGGGCTCTTCCAAGTTTTAAGTACTTTTTACTAACGTTAACTGTTAACAGACCCATAATGCGTTCTAGCGTTTGATTGGCTACAAGCATGTAACGTGTATATTCCCTTGAAGCTTCTTCAAGTTGTTTGCCATGTAAAATTGACACACCCCATAATTCTACCTGTAACGTTAGTTGTTTTACGATGAGTAAAAATAAAGGAGTGTGTTGGTAGTATTATGCATGCGGTCACATATTCCCAACCCAAAAGTACATAGCTTTTGCTCATATCCTAACGTTAGCTGGTTAACGCGATGGACCAATCCAAAACAACATACGACGAGTTAATCTTTACACATGAAATGAAATCGACACCGTAAGGAACTACAATGGTCGTTTGGCATTGGCCAAGATCGCCGACATTTCCAATCACTCGGCTTCGTCGACCTCGTCAAGCTTCTTTTCGGTACTGGCTTGGTCGGGGTTAAAATCGAACGGACCAGCGTCCACTTTGCAGTTGGAGTTGTGCTTGGGGTACGTGGCGTTGTTGAAGAAGGCGGTGATGGCGTTGAAGATGCAGCTGCTGCGCATTCTGTTGATGCCGTGACCGTACCCGTCGCGTGTGACCAACACCGCGTTGGAGCCCATGAGTCTGGCGAGCGCTCGGGCGCCGCGCAGGGGGGTGACGGGATCGATTTTGTTTTGCAGAATCAAAATCGGTTGGGGCAGCTGAACGTTCCACGGACCACTGTAGCGCTCCACGGGGCGAATCTTCCAGTACATGGCAGGCAAGGCGTAAAAAGCAAACTGCATGCCAAAGAGGGGGCTGTTTTGCTTGGCTTCGCGGAGGGCGCAGTTCCAGTCCTGCGCCCGCTCCAAGTCGCCGTCGTTGGCAATGTAGATGGGGAACTCCATGTACATGCCAAGGTAGGACGAGTTTGTCACGGGGCATGTTTCGCGCACGGGGTCCGACACGTATTGGCCCCGCAACAAGTCGTTCAGGTAGCGCGCCAAGCCGAGCCACTTTTCCGGTTTGTACAAGTCGAACAGGATCTTATCTCGAATTTCAGACGCCATGACGACGGTAAAGTCGTCCCCGGCCGCCGTCGGGGCAATGACAGGCGTCTCCTCCGTCTTGGCCAGAAACTCGCGAATGCGCTTGCCGACGTGGGGCTCGGACGCGAGGGGGCAGTTGGCCGGACCCGCCGCCTCGCACGTATTGGCAAATGCATCAAACGTTTCGTCGGCATCGACGGTGGACGTGGCCAGCATACCCGACGAGGGCCCCGTGTACACAGTCGGGTCGAGCACCGATTCGAACACGACGCGGCCGACGCGGTGGGGAAACATGTTGACGTACGTGGCCCCGAGAACTGTGCCGTAGGACCTGCCATAGTAGTTGACCACGGATTCGTTTAGGGCGGCGCGGATCAGGTCCATGTCCCGCGCCACGAACGACGTCGACAGGTACTTGACATAGTCGCCATCGTACATTTCGCAGCGGCGGACTATGGCCTTCAGGGGCGCCCCGAACCGCCCCAACGATGTCTCGGCGGTCGGCGAGTCGAACGGTAGGTGCCTCTGTTTGGGCCACTCTGTGGTGGCGGTGTAACCGTTCTTGGTGCAGCGCGCGGGACGAGACTTCCCCACTCCACGAGGGTCGAACCCCAACACGTCGTGCTGGCCCCCGAGGTACCACGCGACTCTGCCTGTAGCCCAGGGCATACCAGGAATGCCGGGCCCTCCAGGGTTGAGGAGGATGGTGCCCTTGGTGGCATTGGGGACACGGAAGCGGCGGACGGCAATGTCGATGGTTTGGTCGGGCGACGGATCCAAGTGGTTGAGGGGGACTTTGAGGAACCCACATTGCACGCGGGTGTCGTTCGTGTCGGGGCATGGCTGCCAGTTGAACGGGTCTTGTGCCGCCAAGGCCGCGACGGCGGGCGTGCCACAGAGGCTAGTCATGCCAATTTCGAAATGACAATTCTTCATCGACGTACCAAAACGACAACGGATCAAAATGTGTCTCACGACCATTCCTTCAGATACTTATGGCTACCCCGGGTACTAGGCGATAATCTTTTGGACGTGGCATGGCCCATGTTAACGGATGTCATTAGTACATTACTATACGGTAGTAGTAACTAGTTGCAAGTAAACAAGTGATGTCGCCGCGAGCCTGTACGTTGGACTCGACAGTCAAACACACTAATTACAATTGTGGTGGTTAGTATTAAGAGTAGGTGCATGGTCCTTGCCACTCACCTGTCAAGTGTTTCTTCTTGGTCGACTCGGTTGGAATTTATGAGTTGGTACGCTGGTGTACGTGCTCATTCACGGCTAGGAGAAGCCAGTGCAACACCAGAGGTTTACTTCCAACCTAGTTTCCAGCAGAGGTAAATAGAACATTCAAGAGCCATTTTGAGTCTACAACTTCTGTACAACTTATGGCAAGAATAATCGTAATTCTTCGTTGAAGGCAGAACCGGCTCTCTTGTTTCGCTTTGTAGGCAGAATTTACAGTTAGCCAACTTGTGCTACCGACATACTACCCTGGTAAATTAGTACTATTTCTGTTAACGTTAGCACAACTTGTGCTACCGATATACTACCCTGGTAGTACTATTTGATTTTTACTATCCCTAAGCTATCCCCGAACGCGTATGCCTTTCATGAAGTAGATATATATGTAGTTCTTTGAGTGGAGGTTATGCAGGTGGAGTAAACAGTATGGCGGTGTTGATGTGACATGTACTGCGGTGGTGCAAGTACATTCCATTCAAGCATCGTCATACATAGTGTCAACTTAGCACATTAATACTTTTATTTGGGAGAGACAATGAATTTACAACAGACTCAAGAATCTACAATTACAGAATCCAGAAACTACAACTTCAACTTAACCTCATGTCGCATATGTTACCTTACAATTTCCAGCTTCGTGTAACCCTGGAACCCCGAAACCCCTTGTCTTTACATATAATGCGTGCTCCTAAAGCACTGGTATTTTCATATAATGCCTGTTCCCCGGAGGCTGCGGGAAATGACGAACATAGCCATCGTTGGCGACATGAGCGAGGATAAACGTATGTCTAGCTAGACGAAGGAATTGAATTTTGGTGCAAGGCGACTTTGTATTCGATTTCGCTGTTCAAAACGTACTTCAAATTTTGGCCACCAGTTACAGTACGATGCTAGTATCCACGGCATTCCACGAGAATACCTTTACGTATTTGTAATACTCCGCGTATAAAGTAAGTGTTTCATAATTTAAAAAGATAACATCGAAATATAGCATCAAGTTAACACAAGTTAACATCAATGTTTGTCATAAATTATGACAATGTTAACTATCGAGAAAGTACATGACTTTGTCGTTGAATTGCTCAGCAACGGCTGGTATGGGCGTGATACATTTAATATGAAAACTGAAGAGGGTGCAGGCTATATAACGAGACAGGATATGTGGCGATTGCACTTATTTAGCATGCGTGAAGTGACCTCAAACATGCCAAAAAACTGAAATATAGCTTACTTTGGGTGTGATTATATCCCGCAATAAGCATCGTAACACCGTCCATGCCGCTTTATTACGTAGTATCAATGCTGCTGTACATGCTACCATGTTCTTGTGTTGTCGGTGATCTCTGAGCCACGAAGCAGCACATTAAAGACGCATTTTGGCGAAAACGTCAAATATAGCGTGAAAGATGACAAACAATTATTGTCATCTTGAGCTACAATTTATAGCATACATTGATATGTTATGTTATAATTTTCTAACATTTAAATGTCATATTTTAAAAAGTCCGTTTTGTGTGGAGCCAAGCAACTCACAGTCAGCGCAATCAATTGAATACGATGCCAATCTTTCAAAATGGCAATTAAAAGCAGTGCACGTTTCTTTCTTCCTCAGGCTGAACTCGATTTGATTCTAGCGTGTTGTATGGTGATGATGAACTATGCACTGCCATATCGTTTGAGGATTGTAAAGTTGATCGTTTCCTGCAGCCTCTGGGGTTATGAGTGCTAGCTAACGCTAACCTCTGTCCGTGCACATAACCTTTAGCTGGAGTACCGTCTAGTTTAATTCGAGTCGGACGGCCATGATCCATATCCGAATCCGTATAAACAGCCCTGAGACGTTTTCGCTCCGGACATACAAACATTAGTATTAATGGATCACCCTCAAATATATATTGGCATGGTAGGACTTGGTAGGACAGTTATCCGGATTAATACGGTTAACATGTTGGTGAAACGATACAATGAGTGTGAAGGAAGGAAAGTGATGATGTATTTGAAGTTAACTAGTGCCGCATTCGCCAGAACCATTACAACACTTCTTTCCGAAGCTAAAGTGAGGGAAATTCCCCCACTTCAAAACGAATGCTGTGTTGTTACTGCTGAAATGCAAACGGTAGCACGACTCGATGGGTGTCAACACAGAAACCGCAAACACTCTCGCGGCCTCGCACATTTCGCTCCTGTCACAGGGAATTTCCGCAAAGTACCCGAGCAACACAG